CTTCCCAGCACCAGAAATGGTTCCAGCTTGACATTTTGCAGCTTCATGTCCGCAGAACACTAGAGCTTTGTTGTGATCACGTTTCAGAGTTTTGTTCTATCAGAGTTCTGACTTAGGTTTGGTTTGTCCCCCCAAAAGTAGGTGCTGAACTATTATTGTCGTCATTTCATTCTTTATAATGTAGGGTGGGTGTGTACGTGTGTGCACGCACGCGCGCACACGCGCACACACACACACACACACGGTGGTATATAAATACAGTGGTACCTTGGTTTGCAAACAGTATGGTTTGCATACGTTTTGGATTATACACACGTCAAACCCGGAAGTGCGTGTTCCGGTTTGCGAACTTTTTTAAAATTACAACCCATTGGGGGGGGGGAGGATTACGAACATTTATTGGGGGGAGGCCCTATTGGCGAAAGCGCATCTTGGGTTACAACCTGTTTTGGTTTACGAATGGACCTCCAGAACGGATTATGGTTGTAAACCAAGGTAACACTGTATATTAAATATACAACTAAATGCAGGAATCTCTGAGGCGTTTTCTCATTTAGCACTGTTGGTGGTTCCAGCGTGGTGGAGCGAAACAACACTGTGAGCAGCACAGCCTTTTGCACACCACGCACCACTTTGAGGCACATCTCCCAGATAACTGACACCCCGCCATCTTCCCTGCCAGGTCAGGCATATCCCAGAGGCCTCTGTGACATTGCACAGAACTTGGGGGAATCTATGTCCTACATTGTACAGCAGGGGGAGCCCAAGAATAGTGCTGGCCAGGTAAAAGACTTTGGCAGGAATCCAGCATTGCACTCTTCTGATCGTTCCATCACTGCAAGCATTTTGTCTTGCCAAACAGGACAATTACCCCTCTACTCCTTCTGTGTGCTGTTTGTGGGGTGGGTGGGTTCCCCAGAGCCAATTCAGAGTGTTCATTTAATCCACACAATAACCCTGGGAGGGAGGTTAGGCTGGGAGTCAATGACTGGCCCAAGAGCACCCAGTGAGCTCCATGGCCAAGTAGAGATTTGAACCCTGCTCTTCCAGGTCCTGGTACAACACTCTAACCACTGCACCACACTGCCTCTCTCTGTCCTGTGTGACCATCTAGTGACTCTCTCCTTTCTTCTTCCTGAGCTGCCTTTGTCTTTTTGATGGCAGCTGAAGTTTGCCAACAGCCACTGTTGAGCCGGGTGTTTCTTTCACACCCCCAGTTTGTCCAGAAGGATTGCTATGGCATTAGTAGGAGCAGATAAGGAAATTCTGGCCGATGCCCTCGGCTTGCAGTTTGCATCCGTTGTTAACAAAAGTGGCCTGAGAGGGGTTAGAAAGCTGTGTGTGAAAAGCTCTCAGGCTCTTTTCCCAAAGGAAGAAATGCCAGCATTTTTAGCACTAAGAACTGGTAACAAGAGGAGCTGTGATCCGCGTGTGCTTTTATCTCATCTTTCTTCCTCACACTGTGCTTGTAAAAAAAAAATCCCTGTAGAACACAGAAATGTAATAAATAGAGAATGAATGAGAAGAGCAGAATGATGATGAAGGAGCTAGCCAATTTTTTACGTTTTTGAAACAGTCATTTCCTTACACCCCCCCTCAACCCCACCCCACCACCACCATTTATTGAACTGAACATTCTGGAACAAAATATGCCATGTAGTCTCTTGTTTAAGAGAACACTGTTAATACAAAGTATTCTTTGTAATATTCCAATACTGACATTCTGGAAATGTGAGCTGCATGTTCCTGCATCACTAACACACCCTTCATTCATTTATTCATATATTCATATCCTACCTTTTCTCCAGGCAACTCAAGGTGGCATACACAGTTTCCCCCCTCTTTCCTTTTTATCCTCACAATGATCCTGTGAGGTAAATTAGGCTGAGAGATAGTGATTGGCCCAAGGTCACCCAATGGGCTTCATAGCTGTGTTGGGATTTGAGCCCTGGTCTCCTCGCATTCTAGCCATGATGCCACACTGGGTCTTTTTTCTGCAAGCCTCATCAGTGAACTCCCAATTCAACAAAGTCTCAATCCATAATTATCCGGTCAAACTAATGCATTAGATTTATGACCAAACATGAAATGATACCAGGAGATCCATGACTGGATCCTGTCCTGCTTTGAAACAAGTTTGATAGCAGCTGTGAAAGGGTGTGTTCAGAACACAGCACTGGTAGAGGGATTAACACTTCCTCAAGCACTACTGACATACTAGAGCAGACTTCAGGTTCGGGGAGAAATTAAGATCAAATTGGGTGGAATATTTTAGCCCTGGCTTTGAAAAAATATGGATTAGGTTTTACTAATGCAATTCTCTTCATTCTGCACACGTGTGTATACTATGGGAAAGTGTTCATGAAAATGCGTATAATTGTGAAACGAACATAAAAATGCATCCTTTTAGGGGAAAATTGCTTGGAAAAATCTGTATATTAGGAGCAATGCATGCCAAAATGCTGATGCTTTTTTTTTGTTGTTGTTGTTATTTAAAGAAAATCAAAAACTGATGGAGAACTATGGAAAATTGAAGATTGGAAAAATGAGTTACTAAGAATAACTGAAATTGACAGATTAATCCTTTCCTCATCTGACTGTTTACTTATCTTGCACAGTATTGTTTGTTCTGACTGTTAGCAGAGTTTTTAAGGCCTCATTCCCATTTCCTGCTACCTGATGATATGTCTAACAACTGAATATGGGCCCTTTTGCATGCAATACATATGCCTGTCAAGAGCTCATCCTACACTCAAATAGGACCCTTGCAGAGACACATGCCTGACTGGCATGTTCTCTCCCTCCTGGTTGATCATTCGGGAGCTTCAAAAGCTTTCTTCAGCCCAAACATCACAGCAACCGATGCCAACAGACAACAGCACACTTAGGGATCCACAGAGTCTTCACAGCTTGCATAACAGACCTCAGCAACTCAGCATTTTGGCTAATCTACGTTTATTTACATATTATACACCCGGAGCATTCTGACTTAGCTCCTTCCTCTTTCTCATCAGACAGCAAAGAGAGTGAACAAAGGACAATAGTCCCACTTCACGGAACACAGTAACACAAACATCCTGTCCCCATCACTTCCCACTCTGTGGAGTCAAAACATACACCATCATGTGATAGACAACAATCCCATGACTGCAATCATGGAGCAGGAATCTTAACAATGCCATGGAACAACCAGAACTTTTTTTCAGCTGGAACTCACCACACAGTCCCAGGCATCTCTCAGGTGAGTTCCGGCACCTCTCAAGTGGACACCATTGCCATTCTAAAAGAATGAGGGAGGTGTTCATGGTGAGTTCTGACACCGCTTTTTCTAGAAAAATAGCACTGGGAACAACCATCCCTGAAGCTACTGTTTTTGAAAGGCCAGCAGGGGGTGTTGAGTGACAGTTTAACTGTCATTGTTTATAATCTGTCAAACTAGGGATAGTTATGTGTGTGAGATTTCTGTCTATGCAGGAGCTATGGAATCAGAAACCGATAGTTCTAACTGGTCAGTTTGTGGACATTCTGCTTTGCCCTATTGGGCCATAGTTATAGGCCAGCTGGGGCCTCAACTATGGGGGTGGGAGGGTCTTTGGCTCCCTCAATATTTGGGACAGGGGGCTGAGCCCTCCCAATATTGAGGGGGCTGTTATCCCCAGCCACCCTCAGGAAGATGGCCCTCCACACTCCCCATCCTCCACCACTGTTGGGAAAGTGCTGGCGTGTCAGGTGGGGGCAGGTCACAGCACATGATTCCAGGCCCCCTCAATTGTGTGTATGTGTGTGTGGGGGGGAGTTGGCAATCCTATAGGCCAATGTGGGAGAAGAATAAAGGTCAGACTCTGGCCAAGGAGAGGTAAACTAGACTCTTCTGCTCCACTGGAAAACACAGGAATTTTATGTGTTCTGTTGTGCCACACCTTGAAAAGTGTCCAAATGCCACTCTTTCTCCATATAGCTAGAGGACCACAAAAGTATACAGATACTTTAAAGAAGTTGCATTATCTCCCAGTAGAAAGCAAATCAAAGCACTGCAGATACAGGTAAAAATAACCCAGGAATTTCCCAAAGGTCCTGAGGATAATTTATATATTTCTGAAAAAGAAGAAGTCCCAATTTGTATGTGCAGGTGCATTGCTGGGAAGAACATGCATATATGACGGATTCCCCATTCATGCACTTTTTGCAAGTTGGGCTCCACAATGTCTGAGCTTGCATTGGATGTCCTGCACCTGCTGGTTCAGGGAGATTACCTGCAAACTCAGAAGGTTAGTTTAATCCAAACCTTGCTGTCCATGTTTACTTAGAGTCCAAGGTAGATTTTACCTTTTGACAATGGACTAGTTTCCACCCATGCCCCTCTCTGTCCTCCCCCGAGACAAGCAAGAGGCATTAGCAAAGCCATAGCTGTCAAGTGTCCCTTATTTGGAGGGACAGTCCCTTATTCCAGCGCCATGTCCCGCTGCTGTCCCTTATTGATGGGTGTCCCTTAAATGTCCCTTAAATGATGTCCCTTAAATTTCAAAGGAAGCAGCTCCTCTCCCTCCCTCCCTGCCGGCCAGGGAGGAGGGAGGCTCCAACTGTGTTGCTTGGCTGTGTTGCTCACCCAATAAGAAGTCTAAGAACGACAGGGGGGTGGAGCTTGCATGCCTTGTGTGTGGCTAGTTAATGCAAGCTGAGGGGTTTTTTGAATGCTGGACACCATTTTGTTGCACGTGCTGCTGCAAACTTTGCAGTGCAAAGCCAGGCCGGGGAGCCATCTTAAGTTGAGGCTGCATAGGCCTTGTGGTGCATGTGATTCAGATTCTATTCAGTTGAACCTCTGGTTACAAAGTTGGTTGGACAGTGTTCTCGAAGCTACCGGCATGAGTTTGACCAGACTGCAGGAGGACAGGAAGACTGGAGTGCCTGGAACAGGTGAGACTGCAGGTCCCTTATTTTGGCTGCTGGTCCATTATTTTCAAGGCTGCTGGTCCCTTATTTTCAAATCTGTAAGTTGACAGCTATGAGCAGAGTCCAGGGACACATCCCAGCCAGACAAAAGCACTTGAGGTTTGAAGCACAGCCTGGCAAAAGTTTCTGAGGACCAGTCAGAGAGGACTGGAGGAATGTTTTTGGCTCCAGGGTCTGAGGTTCTGCAGCCCTGTTTTAAGCAGGTCTTCAATATTATCTTCTTCTTTTTTAATGCAGCCTATTGATTTATTTGGACATTCACAACAGATTCGCAAAGTTTTGTTTTGTACCAGTGGAGACATTGCTAATATTACTCAGACACAATGGGAAGGTTTCCTAAACAATAGTTCCCAGAAATAGTCACAGAGGTTGTCTTTTCAAGATCCTGTGCCACGACATTTGAGCACAACGTATCAGTTTTGCATTCCAGCTTATGTGACCGTGGCATTTATTTTCTTCACACCTTATCTTTATCAGACTCCTTTTGAAATAACTTCTGATAAGCTTGGCATCGGTTTCCTTTTGAAAAGAAAAGGGGAAGAAAACATTTATTAAGTTAGTTGTGTATATAGGAGCTGAAGTCTACTGAAGAGCATAGGATTTAATAAGAGCGGGGGTTGCTTCCAATCCGAATGGAAGCCATGAGTTTGCTAAATTTGCAATGGGCCTCACATTTTAATGCTCAATATGCCTCATTGCTGTGATCAAAGAACCCCCTCATGTCCATTCAGGCGCAGTGGGAATGCTTCATGAGGATGGGAATTCATTTCCACTGTGGTGGTGATGAAGGTTGCTTAAACGCCATTATGTCTTAGATCATAGAATCATAGAGTTGGAAGGGACCCTGAGGATCATCCAGTCCACCCCCTTCAATGCAGGAATATGCAGCTATCCAGGACCAAACCTGAAACCATAGCATTATAAGCACCAGTCTCTAACCAACTGAGCTATCCAGCTGACCATATAGTGTCTTTAGACTATATGCATGTTGGATGTCACTAAGTCTCAAGTAACGATTTTGTTCTTGTACAATGTCCTGGGAGCAGAAATACTGGTGGGTGGGTTTTAATTTATTTTATAAATTTAAAAATGTAGTACTAATGAAGTCCTATTTAAATTGGCTTGATGTGCCTTTTGAGGAGTATGGTGTCCATTCTTCAATCAGAAACACCAGTTGATTTTCATGACTAGTTGTCTCAATTGGGTCTGACTGGAGGCTAATCCTCTGCTCTGGAGAAAGTTAAATATTATTGCATATGGTGATAGGACACTTTGATATACCATAAACCATGCTTGCTTAATTGGGCCAGGTGGCTTGAACGATATTTCCTTGCAAATTGGAGCATGGATCTGTTCAATGAAATTGTGTCATATGTGAATTTAGGTGGGGATTTATTTTTTTTATAGGTGTTTGCAATCCCGTTAATCACAAGCACTGCTTTTATGCTTTATATGGTACACATTTCCATTATGCTGCATCTCCCATGGGAATCTGTTGATAGAAGATGTGGTAAAACTGGAGAGGGCGGCAAAAGAAACCAAACCAAAGGGTCTGTTAAAGCATCATAAATAAGGCTCATTTTAGATAAGGTACCACCATTTGCTCCCTGTAAGATGCATTGCGTCTTTTCTTTCTGCCAAAAGAACAGGTGCTCTAAGGTTTCTTTACAGCTGTTAAAAGATTTACAGCTCTTTTCCTGTAAAACTGAGGCAATTAGATACTTCAGATCTGCTCCATACTTCCTCCTGAATTGTTGGTGTGTTGAAGCAGATGTCACTGTTAGCACTGCATCTGCAGAAGCTGAACTGCATGTTCCACTTATCAGGCCAGGGATGAGTAACTTGTGGTCCTCCAGATGTTGTTGTACTCCAACTTCCACTGCATCCCTGACCCCTGGCCATGCTGGCTAAACTCGATAGGAGCCCAACAACAGTTGGAGGACCACAGGTTCCCCATCTTCATATGAGGCATTGTTTTGTCTTCTCTTCGTCTTCAAAATGCAACTCTTTCCCATTTTGCTACTGGATCCTTTAAAAATTCTAAGCCTATAGTATTATAAGCCCTGCTATAATTAGATGGGATGAAGTGAGGAAGCTGCTTTTGGTAGTATTCTCTTATTTAATGGTGTTACTTTTATATATCTCATCTTTCCTTCAAAGAGCTCAGGATGGCATGAACATAATTCTGTCCCCCATCCATCTGAACCTCACAGCAACCTTACGATGTAAGTTAGGCTGAAGCACAGGTCAATCAGGAAGTATCTTATGTAGCCCCTATGCATTCAAGACTGCTATTGTGTCCCCATTTTGATTAGGAGAAAGGGGTCAATATGCCATTTCATTCATCTCAAGCTCTTACTGGTTTTGTGCTGTATGTACCTAATGACTATGTGTTCTTGTTCAATTCATGTATTCTGTATGTTGACGATATGTATGGGTTTAATACAGAGATGTACACAAATGTCCTCTTGCAATTTTCCATCTTTTAATGTGGGCAGAATTAGAGGGGAAGCCATGTCACAGAATTTCTCCAGCAGGAGAAAGACTCAAACAGTTTCTTATGGGTGGGGCTCATCAGGAGCAGTGGTAGAAGTGCCTTTCTGTTTTCCTAAGGATTATTTATTCATTTATTTTGGTATGGCTGCTTAAAAAGGCAGTGTTTTTTATCCTCTACATCTGGTGTGGGAAATCTTCAGCCACTGTCATGCTTGCTAGAGCTGATGGTAGTTGTAGTTTGTTAGTATAGTGAGCCAGTGTGGTGTAGTGGTTAAGAGTGGTAGACTTGTAGTCTGGTGAACCAGGTTCAATTCCCCACTCCTCCACATGCAGCTGCTGGGCTAGTAACACTTCTTTGAAGTCTCTCAGCCTCACTCACCTCACAGAGTGTTTGTTGTGGGGGAGGAAGGGAAAGGAGAATGTTAGCCACTTTGAGACTTCTTAGGGTAATGATAAAGCGGGATATCAAATCCAAACTCTTCTTCCTCTCTTCTTAGTGTTTTAGAGAAAATTCTGCAACATAGCCTTTTTTTTCTAAGTGGAGGAGGTGAGAGAAAAAGAAGAATCTCACAAATGTTCCCAAGGAAATACTTTCTGGGAAAGTTTGGTTCAGCTATACCTTAATTTACAACGTGACTTCTGAATGGCACTAGCTGGAATTCATTGCTAGGAGTTTGGTCTGGGATGCAATTTTTTTACAGGGTTTGAGGCTTTCGTTTCTACTTTTTTGTCATTGAATTTGCAGACGGATAGTCTAACCACCACATAAGCATCCTGGACACAATATTTTCATGCAATTGCAACTATCCGGTCTTATTAACTACCTGGAATGTTCCATTAATAAAAGCTCTAGGCAAATCCTTAATCAGGGGTAGCAATTCCACCCAGGTCTATTATTTCTGTAACATCAGTTGGCAACTCAATCCGTATAGAATGACTCAGTGACTTGTAGCTCCAGGCAACCCTAAAGTGTGTGAATTATCATCCACCTTATTAACTAGTCCTGGACAGAGACCACCTAGTCACAATAATTCACACGATAATAACCTCCCACTTAGATTAATGTACAGCAGTACATGGGGCTGCCCTTGAAGATGGTGTGAAAACTTCACCTAGTATTTGGACACACTAACAGGAAGTGTTGCCTCATAAGGATTTATTGGTTCTGCCTTTTTGTAAATTACCTTACTCTGTTCTGCAGACTATTTGTAACCCTTTTACCTAATACATTTAAAATTGGGGAAAGCTGGCAATGTCTTTCCTCGGTCTGCTCACCACTATTCCCATTTGGTCATCATCCCCAGGTGTTTGATTTATCTCTGCATATGGTTATTCTGCCACAGGAACAGAAAAATATGTTCTGATTGTGTGACTATTGTTAACGGCAATCCTATTTCGATGGAACCAATCAAAATGGTTACAGGGGTATCAACTTCACCATATATCAACAGATCAGTCTCTTAAAGTGCAAGCTACTGGATCACTGACAAATTTTTAATATATTGTACACAGAGGCAAAGGACTGGTCTCCTTTATTTACACAGAGCTTTTAGGGTTTACCACTGGTCCCTTGTTGGGTCTTAAATGTTCTTGGAAGAAGGGTTTAAATGTTCAAAAAGATGAATCTGAATGGAAATCTGTGTGGTCAGCTAAGTCTTCTAAATCTGTTTCATCATATGTGAAGGAGTCTTCTCTCAAAGTTCTGCCCAGATGGCATCCTACAGCTGTGCAGATGTCTCATGTCACATCACACTCAACACAGGATTGCTGGCAGGGCTGTGGGGGACATTCTTCCATCTTTGGTGGGAATGCCCCTGGGTTTCATTATTCAGGTCTCAAGTACACAAAGGGATACCTAAAACAATAAAATCACCTTTTTAGGCCTCCCCACAACTGTCATTAAGGAATATGTGGACGGATAATATGAAAGCTTATCACCCTCAAGAACTTTTGACATGGATGTTAACTGCATCTCAGATTTCAGTAGCCCAGGAATGGAAAATCTTGAGAAACAATCTACATTTGTCTTTGTGATATAAGAACTTATGAACTTTGGCAATTGCAGAAGAAATAACACATCAGTTGGATATCTCAAGAGGTATGGAGGAACCAGAAAGCTTTTATATCATCTGGTGGGATTTTATTTCTTATGTTTTGACCTTAAATGCCCAACATTCACCATCCATGCCAGCTTGGGAAATATGGTTGACTTGATTTATATTTGTGTGTTACCATTTCTTCTGCTTATTATTTTATTTTGCTCGCTTGCTTTGTATATGGTATGATATAATCCCCTGCTACTGCCCCCTTTGGGTTGTTAGTAATGTTCATTTTGTTACAATAAAAGAAAGAAAGGAAAGCTCTAGGCAAATCCTTAATCATTGGCAGCAATTCCGCCCAGGTCTATTATTTCTGTAACGTCAGCTGGCAATTCAGTCCCTATTGAATGACTCGGTGGCTTGTAGCTCCAGGCAATCCTAGAATTAAAGTGAGCAAATTATGCTTCATCCTAGTAACTAGTCCAGGATAGAGGCAACTTGGCCACAATAATTCACACTGTAATAGCACCCCATTCAGATCAATGTAATGTGCTCTGTGTGGGGCTGCCCTTGAAGATGGCATGAAACTTCACCTAGTGCTCTAATAAATAAAGAGTTGGGTGGCTGGCAGGAGCTACTTGATACTAGTTCTTGAGGAATTACACTGCCTGCCAAGACGTTTCTGGTCGAAATCCATTGTATCATTTTCTGTTTCCTGCTTGGCAGGGGGTTGGACTCGATGGCCCTTGTGGTCTATTCCAACTCTATGATTCTATGATTCTATGTATCATTTGTGATTTATGAAGCCCTGAAAAAATTAGCACCCCACTACCTGAAGGATCATCTCCTGGATGTGAATGTCCACTGGGGAGGTCTTTCTTAGCATCCAACCACTGGGACAGAGAATGTAAGAGCAGCCTTGCTGCAGCAATTCAAAGGTCCAGCAGTGTGAGCTCATTGCAGCCAACTAGATGACTTTGGGAAGACCACAAGCAAGACCTAAGCACAACAGGGCTTATTATTTGTTTGTTTGTCTGTCTGTCTGTCTGTCTGTTTGTTTAATTTGTACGCTGCCCTTCATCCGTAGACTTAGGGCGGTTCACAACATAAAATCACATTATAATGGTTCTTTGCACAAGTCTTTTTTAAAAAAACACCAAACAAACAAACTTAAAATTTTGCTGTAACTTTGTGCTGCCTTGCCATGTTGGCCAGGGTTTTTAAATTATATTTATTTATATTTATTGCATGTTGACTTTGTTTTTGTATATTTCTAAAAACTGTTTCCGTCCTTGAAATCTGTTCAGGATGAGCAACATGGATTTTAACTAACCAAATAAACAATTCTGATGCGAGGAGCTCACAACTGCATATGTGATTTTGCCCCCTGCCCTGCCTTTCATCCTCACAACAGCCCCCTGTGGTAGGATAGACAGAAAACTGGCAACTGGCCCAAGGAGCTTCAGAGATGAGCAGAGACTTGAGCTCAGATTTCACAAGACCAGCACACCATCTATTACACCACACACACAGATGGCTCCAGGTTTGAGGGAGGCTCAGCAAATAGCCCCCAGTGAGCTCCCCACTACACCAGTGGACTCCTGACCACAGCCTTAGAATCATAACATCACAGAATCATAGAACTGTAGAAAGGATCCAAAGGTCATTTAGTCCAAATACCTGCAATGCAGGAATCTCAACCTGCAACACTCCAAATTTGGCTCCAGTATGGTGAGTATCTTACTTAAGACAGGGATGGGGAACCTTTCAGCCCAAAGGCTGCTTTTCTTTCTCGACAACCTTCTGAGGGCCGTATTTCAGTGGTGGATGAAGCCAGAGACAAATGTGGGTGGAGTAATGAACGTAAATATACCCTTTGTACAGTTCCTGTACACAGAGCCACGCACCTTCCCCTGTGCTCCATCCAAACAAACAAGAGGTATTGCTAGACCTCAAAGGCACATTCAAACCAAGGAAAACCTCTTAAGGTGTAAAGCAAGGGCCAATGAGGAGTGTGGCCTGCAGAGGATTGTGGTCTGGCGACAGTTAATTAAACAGGCCTGGGTGGACACCTCTGATTGAACATAATGCTCAAACCAAACACTAGCTCCTTGTTCATCCTACAAGAAATAGAAATTCAAATATTCATTGCCTCAGACTAATGTCTGAATTTCTAATAGGGGCTAACCCTCATTCATTTGCAAAGTTTATTTGTAATCAAATTCTAAGGTGCAGAGATGACGGCTTGTTTCCTTTGGCAAGCTTTTCTGCCTTTAACTGATACAAATTAGGCAGAAATTAACATATCTTTCCCTGGTATTGAGCTTCAGTGATTCAACATTTTCACTGGAAATTAACATGGCTCTAAATATACACTGCACCTTAAACTGCTTGGTGAAATCACACCAGTTACTTTTTCTTTTTAAATTTTGTTAAACATTTTCCACCCCTAAATCTCCTTGTCAGGAGATAACATTAAAGAGGCTCAATAATACAAATGAAAATGCGCTTATTTCCCCCTGTCAAATGCCTCCATTTACCACTCTAGACTTTATTAGTAAACGTTTCTTTATCTTTACTAGAACACCTTGATATGTTACAACTTGATGAGGCATTTTAATGCAGCAAAACAGTTCAGATTTCTGTCTTGTGAAGTCCCAATAATAGAATTATGCACCTTGGATTTAAACCTCCTATTCCGAATTCTACCATGGGTGCTAATCTAGTCAAATTGCATACCAAGATCAGGCTGACATTGTCTAGGTTTGTGGCCTATGGACTAATAAGAAGGAAAACATTGCCTGCCAAATGCCCTACCACAATTATTTTACCGAATACCACTGCAAAACCTGCCACCTGAGAGTAAGCTATGTCCTTGTGTCATGAATGCCAGCTCATAGACACACACGTTTTTAATCTTATAAAGATATCCAATAGCTTTCCTTCAAGGACAAAAGCACGAACACTGTGTGTTTTTTTTTCCTTGAGGAAAGGGCTATGCATCCTTGAAGAAGCTGCAAATAGATTTCAATTACAGCAGTTCATTCTACTGAAGTTGTTCCATTCTACTCTGTGCCATGATCCGCCACTATATTAAAACTCCTCTTATTTTTAGCTGGTTTCCATTTTACAACCCAGTGGGGAGAAAATCATTTCCTCTGTCCATCAAAAATATACATATTGAAAAGTGCAAACATTTTATGGACTTGGCTTCTATTGCAAGAACCATCCATGACCCTAGATGGTGATAACCATTAGATGATGACTTCTACCTAGGGAAGGTATGCCACAAGAATCCAAACTAGGGTAGCCTACCTGGTGGCCTCTAGATATTGTTCAACTCCCATAATCCCTGATCATTGACACTAGGGCTGATGGGAGCTGGAGTCCGACAACACTTGGAAGGCCACAGGTTGGCTACTCATCTTGTCTAAACACTGGATTCTGGCATACCGAAAACAGAAACAGTACTGACATAGACAGGATTTCCCTGGTCCTGCATAGGATATCTGCTTAAGCAATGTATGTTGGTATCCATCCAAGTATTTGAATGGACTCCACAGCCAACATTTTCTGAACCCTCTAGAATGTTGGCGGTTGGATTATTTCTGGGTGGAATTCCCACTCTTCCTGGGGTAGGAAAATGCTGCTGGCCTTCATGTCTTTCAGCTGTGAGTAGATTGACTATCCTACAGCATCACTCCCATGGGCGGGAATGGGAAAACATTTTCATCCCTAGGATCACATTCTCTTTTGGGGCCACCTTCTTAGGTTCACGGGTCAATGAAGGGCAGAATTGGAGACTAGGCAGAGCCAAAGATGAAAGTTTTGCCTTTGTATAGCAGGCCATTTTCTACACCACCTGACACATCTCTGTCTTCCTTCCAAGCAAGCAAGAAGTATTAGCAGAGTTCAAGGTCACATGCCAGCAAGGTAAAACACTTGGGGCACCAATCAGGGCCTGTGAGGGGTGTGGCCTGGAGAGAGTTACAAGGGAGGACCACATTTATACACACACCTGAGATTCCCCACCTATGCTGCAGGCCAATTTGGTCTACATTTTCAAGGGAAACAGAAGCTGTCTGCTGAGTGTATCCAAGCCGCCACTTGGCGTGGTTGCTGCTGTTAAAGTAGGAGGGAGAGGATAATAGGGAAAAACCTTCAGCCACTTGCTGAAATGTAAGGAGCACCTGAAAGGGCTGGAACTTTCACACACCCTCAACAAAATGCGGTTATTCAATGAGGATTTTTCTCTCACCTTTCTCCAGAAAATGCCAAAAAAGCGGGGGGAGCTGTGTCGAGTTCTTCTAGCTTACTGGGAAATGAACACCTACAGAAGGATGAGATAGCAGGTAAAAGACCACATTTTCAATATATTGCCCAGTGTTGTTTCAAAGGCTCTTTGCAAGGAGAAAATTAGCACAGGAAGGAGATATTTAAAATATTACTTTCTGCTTTCTTGTTTTGAACTCTAGTGAGGAACATGAAGATAATGAACTTCTCAGGAAAATTGTGCTGAAGTCGTAATACATCTGAGGGTTATGAGCCACATAGATTTCTATTTCAGACCTGATAATTACACATTTGGGTGCCATCAATAGTTCTTTTTTTGAGGGAGGGGTGTTTACACATAGCAGCTTTGTTCGTGATTCCTTCATGCCGTAGATGGACTAGGCAGCCTCCCTCCCTCTCCACTTGGCATAGCTATTTGAATATGTGCATTAGAGAGGCTGCCGTTGATGATTCGACTCATGAGCTGGTTGCAAATCAGCTTGAATGACACACTTCAAACATGATGTCTTGAATTTTTAGGTGATTTTTGTTCCATATAATAGGATGCTCAAGGATTTATTTTAATCCGCCCTTTTGAGCAAACCAGCTTAATTTGCACTTCTCAGAGAATTGTGTGGATTGGAATGCAGCTGCTATTCTTCAGGTTTTTTCTTTTTCTTTTTCACATCCACAAGCTTTACAATGCAATTCTACTCAGAAAAAAAGTACCAAAATGCATGTAAGATGCACATCTTAGGTAAAAATGTTTGTGTGTGTGTACATGTGCATATGCCTTTCATGGAAAAATACAATATTTACTTACTTACTTACTTACTTACTTACTTACTTACTTACTGACACAGGGACAAATAGAAGAGGATGCCTTCACCCCAGTATGGCTCCCCTTTATTACATACACAGCCCAACAAGATGACAACAAGAACCACTGACAGCTTACAAATCAATATGGCTACCTTGTAACCCCAGAAAATCTTTCAGAAAAAAATACAAAAATAATGCAATGTATGTATCTCTCTACAGAAATGGGACAGGATGCATAAAGCCATACTATAAATGTCTAAGGACATTCATACCCATCCTTACTTGGGATCGAGTCCCATTGAACTCAGTAAGCTCTACTTTCTAATAAACATAAATAAATTCAAACTGCACATCTTTCTGTCGTGCTGTCCCCATTCTACCATGTACAGTCCAGTTGGCACGAAGTATTTTGAGTTAAGCTTATTTAGTACTGATTTGGATGTAACTTTAAATGTGAAATATGGACTACAGTTTGCTGATGAATCGGTTGCACGCTGTCACATATATATACAAGGGGAAGATTTAAGTTAAACACAGGGCAAGCCAAACAGGCTTAGCAAAAGCCGAAAACATCAGTGATTGATTAAGCTGTTAAAGGGACCAGTCCGGATGCTGCGTTTTAAAGCTAATAGAGAACTAGATCTATTATATAAGGGTAAATCTGTTAAAGGAAGATGAATCAATGCATTCATTAGGGTTTGCAGTCTATTTGTTAAGGTGAAATAGGATGATGTCTACAAAGCAGACAAGATGCTGACCTCCCACACGGTGGCATCGCAGGGTGTAAAACATGAAATCTGTCGCAGATGGGGCTTTGATTGCATCTGGGTGGTGGAGGGGCAGAATGACAAATTTCCCTCCAATGACCTTGCCGTGTGGAGAGCAACTATACATGCATATATAAAAAGCCCATCATTTTTAAAGCAAAAATATGAGCATGCTAATATGCAGGCTCAGAGGAAATACTAAAATGATGATATCTCTGGCACTAGATCCTGGAGCTCTTAAGCCAGTCCTTTACACGGATTCTACAGGTTTTTGCACCTTGCTTCATTCCTTCAAGTATACCCACTTCTTGCACCCAGATAACTGCTGTTTACATATAGTTTTCTGGTAGTCTCGCATTCAGCACTGCCCGGGATCAAACCCTTTCAAATTTCAGCAGTTGATCATTCACACAGAGAAAGAGAAATGCTAGGAAGCCCCCGTCCCCTTTCATTTAAAAATAAGCAGCTTATAAGTAAACTGGCCAAGGGTGATTGTTGTTTTCTTCCCCTGCTATTTGCAACGTGAGCAAATGACTGCATTTAAAATTCGAAACCAGCACGAAAGTGATGGGAATAATCAAAAAGTATTGATTCCTTAACAGGCCAGCATGTTTTGAACTGGACATTTAAAATCACAGGCCACCAATTTATTACCAAGGCATAAACAAATCAATGTTTTTTATTTGTATCCATCAATAATACCTACAGGTGTTTGTGTGCATGCATGCTCATGCACACACATGCACATGCATGCACACACACAGGTAATAAGAGAGAAATCTAATGCTGGGGAAAATACACTAATTAATTTTGAACTTTAGCTGGCAGAACATCTGAAATATACTTCTTCAACTTTCTATCTGCTTATGTATATTAAGCCCACATCTGCATAAATTTCAGGATCAATGTACTTCAATCAAACTCAAGTTGTATTGAAAACATGCCCTTGACTCCCTGGTAATGCAGCAGGGGATAATAATGATAATGATAATGATAATAATTTTATTATTTATACCCCACCTGCCCATCTGGCTGGGCTGCACTCTCTGTTCTCCCCAAAATAACCTAACAGTGGAAGAAGCTGTATGAAAGCCTGCTGTGCAGAACCACTTCCAGACAATGCAATGGTTTTGCCTAGAATCCAAAATTCAAGGAGGCCTAGGAAAAGCCTACAGGTGTCAGATTGTTTAACCAACCCTTCCTTCCTTCCTTCCTTCCTTCCTTCCTTCCTTCCTAGAAGTAATAACCCTTTTTCAGTGGTGGAGCTTCATGCTCCAGCACCAGGGGGCGGAGAGTAGGCAGACCTGGGCTGGCGTGCATCCCAGGGGCGTGGCACGCTGCCCACAGGGGCATGTTGTGTGTCCTGGGGGCGTGGTGTGTGTCCCCTGTGGGGGCGTGGCACCCAGCGGGGGCGGGGGGGCAGGCGCAATGGGCACCCCACCAGGATCGTGCTGCCGGGGGCGGTACGCTCCCCCCGCACCCCTCTTCCTCCGCCAGTGCCCTTTTTCTCCCTGCTAGTGTCCAGTATTACTTCTGAATACCAGCTGCAGGAAAAATGCACTCCTAACACAGTACACTACATTTTCCTTTATTAGCATCTCATAACATAAAACATCACCATTTGCATGTTATTATTGCTATACTGTATATGATTAAACAACACAGAGAATAAAAAGGCAATCTTCTCCATGAGTTCTCTTTAGACCTGTTTCCCAACCAGCTGTTTCTTTTAAATTAGCTTGAGTTTTGGGGTTTCCTAAAGCGTATGATTTGTTGTTCAACCCTTGTGCATCAGACTCTTCTTCAAACTTTGGCCGTGTCAGCTTGAGCTGAAGAAGTAAGTTGCTGCAGCGCCAACATCTCCAGCCACTTATAATCCTCCTTTCCTGATGATGAGCTCAACCTTGACAGCTGTGGTTGGGACTTCTCTCCAGTGACATGCCATCTAATAAATATATCAGACTTCAGAGGCTACCTTTTCCTCCTTGGCACCAGCCAACCATTTTTAAAAAAGGACATTAACCTTTATTTTAATTTCCCCCCTATGATCCTGCATACTGCGTTCACGAGTCTACTGACATGAGCTGGAGTCGATGTAACATGACTGTGAGCTAGAGAGGGAATAGTAATGGCTTGAAAGCTGTGAGGAGTGTGTATTAAGCAGTGTTAATAGAAAGCAGAGCAGAGAGGCTTGCCATGGGTGTGAAATCTGTTTCTACCAGTATTGTTAATGATCATGGGGGAACCGACAATGCAGCTCCTTTCCATCCCGATATTGCATCTTTTCTCTGGAGAGATAATGATGAGCACAGGGGAGCCTTTAAAACAGTGTTTTATAGTGAGTTGCCAGGTCATGTGATGAAGCTGAACAGGCATGGAATGAAGAAGAAGAAGAAGAAGAAGAGTTTGGATTTGATATCCCACCTTTCACTCCCTTTAAGGAGTCTCAAAGCGGCTAACATTCTCCTTTCCCTTCCTCCCCCACAACAAACACTCTGTGAGGTGAGTGGGGCTGAGAGACTTCAGAGAAGTGTGACTGGCCCAAGGTCACCCAGCAGCTGCATGTGGAGGAGCGGAGACGCGAACCCGGTTCCCCAGATTACGAGACTACCGCTCTTAACCACTACACCACACTGGATCCAGCTCAAATCCATTCCCCTCCCCCTTCTCTGCCGCTTTGGGCAGGAGGACGTCATGCCAGGAAATCTTAGGCTGTGCTGGGTTTGGGGACTTAACTTTGGCTGAACTGGGAATCAGAAGGTTGAGCTGGAGATCCACTGCATACTAATATTTCTCATCCCAACAGATCTTGCCATGTGATAGGCCCCACAGTTTGTTGCATATGAGATACTGTCAAAGGAGGTCAACTAAGGTGATCGGTCTGGAAACCAAGGCTTATGAGGAACGGCTGAGGGAATTGGGCATGTTTAGAAAAGAAGAGGAGACAGAAGAGATATGATACTCATCTTCAAATATCTTAAGGGCCATCACATGGAAGATGGAGCAAGCTTCTTTTCTCCTGCTCTGGGGGGTACGACTCAAACCAATGGCTTCAAGTTATCAGAAAAAGGAGATTCTGACTAAACACCAGGAAGAACTTTCTGGCAGTAAGCAGCAGCAGCAGCAGTGCCACTAATGGGTTAGATTCTGGTGTAACTTTATGCCAGCTTATTTTACACCAGCTGGCTTTACAACAGCTTCTTGTACATGGGATTCCCCCCTGAGTCACTGCATGATTTCTGTCCACACAATGGAGTTCCCTCTCCTCTCCATGTCCATTTCCTGCTTCTATCCTAGGGCTGCCATACATATGGATTTTTCTGGACATTTCTGGGATTTCAAAGGCAGAAGTGACATCTGCGGGGTGGAGATTCTAAAGGCGGTGCTTTGTTCTGTATCTGTATCTTGAAATGCAAAATTTATCAGGAAGATAATTAAGGAGAAAACAATCATCCTCATAACCTTCTAT